GGGTCAAAAACGAGCTAAATCCATCAAAAGAAGTCAAATTTTGACAAGAAAAAGATTTGTTTAAGGAGTTTTTCACTAAAGAGCTTAATTTTGAAATACTTTGAAAAGCAAAAATGAGCTAAACTTTAAAACGAACCAAAATAACGTTAATTTGGACTCGATTTTGAAGTTTAATTCAAAAGCTGAGTTAAATTCTTGGCCTAATTCAGATCTTTTTTTGATTTGTTTATCCAAATAAGTTAATTTCTAAAAAAACAAACAATGAACAATACTAAAAATAAATACAAGGTGTTAAAAAAATTCTACTAAAAGCTTCTCTTTTTTGTTTGAACAGATTGCAAATAAATGATTAAAAAACGAAAAATTTTCCTATTTATTAAGACTTTTTTGTTTGTTTTGGTCCTGAATTGTTTGACAGTCTTTATTCTTTTTGTTTCACTCATATTTTTTTTAATAAATTTCTTTTTTTTTCCAAAAATAATGAAAAAAAATACTCCTGACCCAAGTTTTCAATAAAAATTTCCCACATTTTTAGATGGAAACGATCGAATCAGCCACAAATTACAACATTATTGTCCTAATTTAAACATTTTTCTTTTCAAAAAGGTAAAATTTGTAACTAAAAAGTTAGCTAAATCGCCCAAAGACGACCTAAACAACTTGAAAAATTCAAAAAAATTGTAATATTTATAAAATTTTTCTAATTTTTGGCTTGTCTTGACTAAATTTTTCAACATAAAAGAGTTTCTGATTCAAAAACAAATTTTGTGTAAAATCATTGAAAAAAAAGTCAAATATATATTATAGCGCCAACTTTGACATAATTTGGTGATTTCTTGACCATTTTTACAAAATCTTGGAAAATAAAAAAGCCTGACGAAAATGTCTTAAATTCTTGGCCTAATTCAGATCTTTTTTTGATTTGTTTATCCAAATAACTCAATTTCTAAAAAAACAAACAATAAACAATACTGAAAATAAATACAAGATGTTAAAAAAATTCTACTAGAAGCTTGTCTTTTTTGTTTGAACAAATTGCCAATAAGTGATTAAAAAACGAAAAATTTTCATATTTATTAAGACTTTCTTGTTTGTTTTGGTCCTGAATTGTTTGACAGTCTTTATCCTTTTTGTTTCACTCATATATTTTTTAATAAATTTCACTTTTCTTTGTAAAAATAATGAACACAATACCCTCAAACTCAAGTTTTCAATAAAAATTATCCAAATTTTTAGATGGAAACGACAGAATCAGCCACAAATTACAACATTATTGGGCTAATTTAAACATTTTTTTTTTTCAAAGAGGTAAAATTTCTAACTAAAAAGTTAGCTAAATCGCCCAAAGACGAGCTAAATCACTTGAAAAATTCAAAAATATTGTAATTTTTATAAATTTTTTTAATTTTTGGCTTGTCTTGACTAAATTTTTGAAAATAAAATTGTTCCTGCTTCAAAAACAAGCAACATCGATAAAAAAAGTCAAAATTACCCCAGCTTTAACGCAGTTTAGTAATTATTTAGTCATTTTTTACAAAGTTTTGTGAAATAAAAAATGCTTACACAAAAATGACATAAGATGTTCAAAAACATCAAACTCATTTTTTAATTTGCTTTTTTTCATGTTATTATTTGATAAAAATTGAAAAAAAAAATAGGTAGGTAAATATTTAGCTAAAAAATTGCTAAAACAACGTTAATGTTGACTAAAGTCGTAGATTTTTTTATTCATTTTTGACAAAACTCAACTCAAAAGATGAGTCGCTTAAAAAAAACAAAAACAACATACTTTTCAATCTAAAAAAAATATTTTTTGGGTTGTTTTGAGTAAATTTCCCAGAATTGTGGTACAAAAACGAGCTAAATCCATAAATACAAGTCAAAATCACCAATTTTGACGTAATTTGGCAAATTTTCGCCCAATTTTGTCAAAAACTTGCAAAATAGGTATATACATTTCTAACACAGAAATTGCCTAAATTGCTAGAAGCGACCTAAAAAAAATCAATTTGAACGTAATTCAAAAGTTTCCAGGGTTGGATTGTTTTGACACAAATTTTTTTTTAAATTACTACAATTTGGTGATTTTTTGGTTTGTTTTATCAAAATGTTGACCCAAAAATGAGCTAAATCTTTTAAAACAAACCACAATAACGTTAATTTGGACTCAATTTTGAAGTTTAATTTAAAAGATGAGCAAAAATAATGAAAAAACACCCCAAACTCAAGATTTCAATAAAAATTTCCTAAATTTTTAGATGGAAACGACCAAATCAACCACAAAGTACGACATTGTTGGCCTAATTTGAACATTTTTTTAATTTTTATTTTTACAAAGAGAGGTAAAATTTCTAACTAAAAAGTTACCTAAATCGCCCAAAGACGAGCTAAATCACTTGAAAAATGCAAAAATATTGTAATTATTATAAAATTTTCTAATTTTTGACTTGTCTTGACTAAATTTTTTAACATAAAAGAGTTTCTGGTTCAATATATTGAAAAAAATCAAAACATATAGCGCCAACTTTGACATAATTTAGTGATTTTTTTGGTCATTTTTACAAAATTTTGGATATCAAAAAATCCTGACAAAAATATCTTAAATCGTTATAAAAAGAGCTAAATTTTTGGTGTAATTTTTTTTTTGATTTGTTGATTAAAATCAGTCTATTTCTAGCTTAAAACTTTGCCAAATTGCTCAAACCAGGTTAAAATAACCTCAATTTTGAAAATATTAGTTGATCTTTAATCAGTTTTGACAAAATTTAGTGGTTTTTGGCTTATTTTGACTAAATTTTTGAAAATAAAATTGTTCCTGCTTCAAAAACAAGCAAAATCCAT